TAGCTGTATGTTTGAAGACCTGCCAATCTGTGCACTGGAAGCAGTCTTGCAGCATGGAGTCAGCGTCACACGGCCACACAGTCACAGTTCTCTGTAAGGGTTTCCTGTGCTTGACCAGGGGACGATAGGCTGGAACCATCACGATGGAAATATGGTTTGGAAAGGCCGAGATGGGGGCCGGGGATGGATCTGTATGCACCTCGTTTGTTTGTGTAAACATGGTCCAAGATAGGGTGACCAGATAATCCATGTCAGGGAGGACACTTTGGACTACTTCGGGTTTTACAAACTACTTTCAAATTGAAAGACTCCTGTGTTTGGCTAAATACAGTAAGACTGGTCTAAGTTGCCGGCTTGTAACTCGTCAATGTGCACAAGTCGACGCTCAAGCAAAAGTCCCGATTTTTCCTAATGATGTTTCTTTTAAAATTCCTTGTGTAAGTCGCCGCTTGTAAGTCGTCAAATTCCCTTAGTCGTCACCTAAATCCCGGTCCCAAACAACACAAATGAATGGATTTTCCTACCTGTAAGTCGACACCCCAATCGCTGCATTCCCGCCGCCTGCTTGTCACCCCGGCAATGTAGAAACCGAGTGCGTCGCGGGACAAGATTTGATGGGTGAATGCGGGTGCGGGCGGTAAGGTCCTCATGTATGTGCGGGTTGCAGGAGAATAGAATTAACATTCTCATCATTACATAAATAATAACAATTTACAGGCGAATCGTCTACAGAAACTACAATTGCCGCGCTCTGAGTGCCGGGGGACGTAACCGGACACCCCAAGAAGTAATCAGCCTGGTGCTTGGACTGGATGGCATGTTCTGAAAAGCTCCTCGTTCATGTCCATGTTCATCATTCCATTTAATTAAACTAAAATAAAACGAAACATATTTGTTTATTTTCGGTGTCTTTTTTATATATACTCAAAAGGGAAGCAAGTGAAACAAATAGAGTAGCGGGAAGAAGCGGTAAAAATAAAAGTACTTATATGTTTACCTGCGGTATTTTGCGGGCGGGAGCGGGACAAAACTTGAATACTGTCGGCGGGAGCGGGAAAAAATAATATATATTTTTTGCGGGAGCGGGACAGAATCTTGCGGGAGCGGGCAGGAGCGAGACTGAAAAATCCATCCCGCACAGGTCTCTACTGTGATGAGTAGAGGTATATGGTGTTATATTTACTAGTCGGCAAAACGGCGAGATAGACATAAGTCGCTGAAGTGTCAACTTTATAAGTCGGCAAAACGGCGAGTTATATTTACTAGTCGACAAAACGACGAGATAGACATAAGTCGCCAAAGTGTCGACTTAGGTATATCTCGTCAATTCTCTAAATCGTCACTTTTAAGCTGGTACCGCGAGTGTCGACTTAGACTGGTTTTACTGTAGTTCAGTTCTTCTTGTGCTTTGACTGATTTGTTTCCTTGACTAAAAGACATTGTATGCCGTTGTTGGTTATTACCTTTTATAATTAGCACTGTTAATGCACTGCGTTATGTTTCACATACCCAGCCCAATAGCAATATGTCCTGAGGTCGTCCTTTGGATGTCCTCTTTTGGTCTGTATGCCGTTGTTGGTTATTACCTTTTATAATGAGCGCTGATAATGCACTGCGTTATGTTTCACATACCCAGCCAATAGCAATACGTCCTGAGGTCATCCTCTTTTGGTCTGTATGTCGTCCATCCACATGGAAGGTTATTTTTTATGTCTAGAGGGCGACCTTGAGGGATGTCCAAACAATGTCTAGGTGACTGTCACGCCCCGCTCCGTCCGCTCCTAATGTGTGCCACGCCCACCTCATTACATCCTGTTTCTCCCTGATTGTTCTCACCTGTGGCTCGTTACCCGTAGCTTGTCTGTTGTATTTAGTTCTCGTCTGAGTCAGTCTTCCCCAGACTTGTCATTAATGTTACCTGTCGTTCTTCCCCGTATTGTGGATTCTCCCTCAATAAACCCCGTTTGCCCTACTTCCTGGTTCCAATCGCCTGCTTTCCGGCTCGCTTGCCCCGCGATCGTGACAGAATGACAAGTCTCCAAAACAAGCTCAGCGCTACTGGGGAAGGTCTCCCCATGGAAGAAGAGTTGATCCAGTGGACGAACTACCTCGAACTCCAGGAGGATCCAGTGGCTCGTCCCTTGATCGACAGGTGTTGGGACCTCCTCCTGGGGAGGTTTCACACCGGTGAGCAACAGCCGCTAGTTGAGGTAGGCAGAAACCTCCTGCTACTGAGGGAGAGAGCAGCAGTTTGGCTGGCCCCCCTGGGGTATGCCCGCTTGGAACCGCCCCCCGGCTCACCACCTACCTTCATCCCGGTCTTCAACAAGACGGCAAAGGCTCCAGCCGCCCGGCGAAAGACGACTTTCCCCGAGCGCACGACTGAGCTTAACGCGGCTTCTGCCGCTCAAGCCCCGCTTCCTCCTACAAGATCCGGACGGCGGAGAAAGAGGCGAAGGGGAAAGGGAGAAGAAGCCGCCCAGACTCTCTTCTTGGGGGCTTGCTCTCTGCACCCCGCCTGGGATGACACCGCCGCTACCCGCCTGGCGAGCTTCCACGCGGAGAAGCCACCTTCACTGGAGACTTATTTTTATCGGCCGGAGCGCCTGGGTCTAAGCGGGATACGCGCCGTAAGGGACGCTATTCTTCGGGTCCCTAGAGCCCTTAAAGGGGCAGTGCCTTCTCGCCCGCCGCCCATCCTGGCGCCCGTTCCAGACCTGCCTGCTCCGGACCTGCCAGCGGCTACACCTGCTGCTGCTGCCGCCGCTCTGCCCGCGGCACCGCCTGCTGCTGCTGCCGCCGCTCTGCCCGCGGCATCGCCTGCTGCTGCTACTGCCACTCTGCTCGCAGCAACGCCTGCTGCTGCCACCGCTCTGCCCGTGGCACCGCCTGTCCTGCCTGACCCGCCTGTTCTGCCTGCAGTCCCTGCAGCTGCCACCGCTCTGCCTGCGGCACTGCCCGAGGTGGCCGCGGTTGCGCCCCCTGCTGGCCGCGTGATGGCGGCGCCCGTTGCGGCGCCCCCTGCTGGTCGCACGCCCGAGGTGCCTACTGAGGCGCCCGAGGTGTCTATTGAGGCGCACCCTGCTGGCCACGTGAGGGCGGTGCCTGCCAAGGCGCCTCCTGCTGGTCGCACGCCCGAGGTACTTGCCGAAGCGCCCCCTGCTGGTCGCACGCCCAAGGTACCTGCCGAGGTGCATCCTGTTGGCCACGTGACTGTGGCGCCCGCCGAGGTGCCCCCTGCTGGCCACGTGACTGCTTCGCCCGCCGAGGCACCCCTGCTGGCCACACGCCCGCGGCCCTGCCTGAGGCCACCTCTCCCGTTCTGCCCACGGCCCTGCCTGAGGCCGCCTCTCCCGTCCAGCCCGGCTCTCCCGTCCAGCCCAGCTCTCCCGTCCAGCTCGCGGCTCCGGCTGCACCGCCGGGTCCCCCCCTGGATCCTCGGTGCCGGTCCTCGGTCCCGCCTCCGGCTCCGTGTTGGCCGCCTCCGGGCCCCCCTGCTCCGGCTGGGGGTCGGACGGCGCCTTCGCCGGCTCCGGCTGCGCCTCCGCCTGCCGCGGCTTCCCCCTCCTGCCCGCCTTCCCTGGGGTTCCCTCCTGCTCCCTCCATGTCCCCTCCGTCACTCCCTCGTCCCGTTCCCTTGGTCCCTGGGTGGTCCCCTCCTGCTCCCTCCTCCCTCTCGCCTGCGGCCCCTCCGGCCGCTGCCCGTCACCCGCCTGGGCTCCTTCGGGCTCCCCTTTGTCCTCCTTCCGTTCCTGTCTGGTCTCCCCTCTCTGCTCCTCCTCCTTTCGTCCCGCCTGTGTCTGTTCCTCGTCCCTCTGTTCCTCCTTTGTTCACTCCTGGCCCCTTCGTGTCACCTGTGGGTGTTCCATCTGTGTCTCCCTTCTCTGTTCGCCTGTCTGCGTTTCCTGTTCTTTGTCGTGTCCTGTCTTTTTTTTCGTCCTTGTTCCTGTTCTGTGTCTCTGTCCTGTTCCCAGTCCTTTGTTGATGGGTTTTGTTCCCCGGTCTCGTCCCGTCCGTCGCCTTCTCCCGGGAACGCCCGGTTTGGGCGCCTTTGGGGGGGGGGGTTATGTCACGCCCCGCTCCGTCCGCTCCTAATGTTTGCCACGCCCACCTCATTACCTCCTGTTTCTCCCTGATTGTTCTCACCTGTGGCTTGTTACCCGTAGCTTGTCTGTTGTATTTAGTCCTCGTCTGAGTCAGTCTTCCCCAGACTTGTCATTAATGTTACCTGTCGTTCTTCCCCGTATTGTGTATTCTCCCTCAATAAACCCCGTTTGCCCTACTTCCTGGTTCCGATCGCTTGCTTTCTGGCTCTCTTGCCCCGCGATCGTGACAGTGACCTAGTATGGACTTTATTAGGACATTCTTGGGACCAGTTAAGTACATTCTGAGAATACATTGTGGATATTAAATCCATGCAAATCCTAGATCCTGATCGTTGTCTTGTTCTGACAGGAATTTAATATTGATTTATTAGGTTTAAAACCAAGGAAACTAAAAAGGAAACTAAAAATAATGCAGGATTACACTTAAATATCCTTTAACGCATCATATTTAATCACTTTATACCCGTTACTCATATACTTTCTGAATTATGCTACCATTTTACATACAAAGAAAAGGTTTGCGTCTTGCCCATTCTGTCTAAACATCTAAACAGTGCATCTAAACAATTACAATATTGCATGGTTTACAAAAAACACATACCAGTGTTTCCCCTATCATTATATTAGGGGGACGCCCCCCACCCCTCCCCAATGGCACCTCCTGCCCCCCTTTGAAGCTTAAGTAAATTTTATTTAACTTTATTTTCTATATAGCGCAGAAATCATTTAAGGTTACCTTTCCCATAGAACTGGTATATACACTATCCTTTTATTAAACAAACTAAATAGCCTTATGTTATTTGTCTTATTTACACAACAGCTTGTCATTTTTGTCTCTACATGGTCGCTTGTTTACAATTCTACTCTGCTCTCTGTATCGCGTATGGCGGAGTTCTACCCCGATGCGTGTGCACAGACACTTGCGCATGCACACACAGGTGAGCACACTCCCACCAGCGGACAGAGAGCGCGCGTCGGAAAATATGTTGTGTCAACCACCTGAAAAGCAGACTAAAATATCTACATATATAATTGCCCCGGGACCTACGTCTGGTTTGACATGCCCGAAATGGCGAATAATTATATAATTATGAATAATTATGAATTTTGTGGGTGTCTGTCTACCCCCCCGCATCAAAGACAAACTCACAAGTGTCACACAGGACTCTGTCATGCTTGCATATTATTGATCACACACATCCAGAGATGGATGTGGTGAAGCGGTCTGAAATCTTTGCACACAGTTCTGTTGCTGGGCAGAATTTTGCAGGGCACCGAGGCCACTGTGGTCTCTGAACATGGATTTTCAAAGCGGCATCAAAGCCAGAAAGAGGGGCAATGATGTCCATGGCTGAGTGACGACTCTGCTGAGTCTCAGTTCCTGTTGTGCTGTGTGACAATGACAGACAGAAGTGGCCAGGATATACAAAAGTGCCCGGTCCAGACAGCCTAAGAACCTGTAAACATGGACCATGTTTCAGAACTTGGGTGTGAAAGCACCTAATAAGCTGAGTAATGAAACCAACAGGTGCAAACAATTCAAAGAAGGAGGTTATTCCAAACTGAGAACAGCTATGGGCCACTGGGCTCTGGTCTGTGACAAATGCAGCCCTCCAGAGCATGTAGATGGAAAAGTGCTTTAAAGTCCTCAATTCAATGGCTACATGCTTTTTTTAAACTTAAGCCCACAGTAGAATACGGCCCACAGTTGTTAGTCCAAATGATCAGTGCACATCTCTACTAGTGGTTTAAAAACTGACTCGTTTCCTTTGGGTGAAAGATATTATAGCCTGTAAACTCAATTTTGAATATAAAGCTAACATTACTTCTATTTTTGATTACAGAGGCGGACTGCAATATATGGGAACTGGTTCTTTACAACCCTAAACGTCTAAATGATGGCTCACTCTTCCAATGAGGAGGTTTGGATGTAATGTTTCAGCATATGATGCATATTGTTAAGGCCGTAAATACCAGACACTGAAAGACAGGAAAGCTGAAGTTCATAACATGAACAACTATTTTCGGATGAAGCTGTCTGAATATAGCAGACAAAAAGCTCACTCTCTGCAGTGCTCTTCCTCAGGCTACTTCCTTACCATACCGCACTGCAGCAAATGCTACAGACGTACTGTAACAGGACAGAATAACTTACCAGACAAAAAGCTCACTCTCCGCAGTGTTCTTCCTCTAACTAACCTGGTTAAATAAAGGTTTGATGATAACACAGAAAATAAACACACACTTGTGCTTCTTATAGTAATGAAAGAATCACAGCAGGTGTTTCCTGCAGACATATAAGACTGTGAGCAGGAAACCTGCCTTCTGTTAACAGAAAGGTCAGTGCATGTGTGTGAGTGACCATAAACAGGTCTGTGAGTCTCATGGACTCATCTCTGACATTCTGCAGATCCAGACCTCACTCGCTATCCTCTTGCTGCATTCTCTGGAGGAGCTCACTGAAGATGAGCTGACTAAGATTAAATATAACCTGATTTACCTGGCATATGAAAAGTATCAGCGCATTCCCAGGGGTCAGGTGGAGAAACTGGACAGAATGGGCATTGCCGACATGATGATACGTTCCTATGGTGAAGTTGATGCTCTCAATGTTATTATTCACATCCTGAAGAAGATGAACCTGAATGATCTTGCTCAGAGACTGAGTAAAGACCTGCAGAAGGGTAATCGTATTTTTAACCATTCTTGTTTTTTGTCTAAATTGTAACCTTTTTAATCTTTAATCTGAAAAATTAACATATTGCATAGGATTATATGGGAAATGTTGATGTTTGTTAGATACTGATGTTGGACACAGAAATGAATCTGAAATTCTTCCTTATTCAGAGCAGAGTAGGAGCTTTTTCTATACTGTTAGTATGGGGGGGGGGGGGCAGTTGTCATCTGGCTTTCCTTCTTCTATTTCTTTGTCTTCTCTTTTCTGTGTTTTTGAATTATTCTGCATAAATGATGCAGGAATGTATCCCAACATGCCCATGTAAAGCACCTTGGACTTGGTAGTGAAAGGCGCTATATAAAAATACATTGACTTGAACCCTGTATATCAGGGCGGCCCGTGGCATAGGCAGTACAGGAAAATGCCAGGGGCGCCGTCCATTCAAACGGGGTAGAAAGGGAAGGGGGAAAATTAAGATTTTTACTTTTACTTATATTGATTTACTACTGTTTTATGCTATCATCTCAAAATAATAAAAAGCTTATTAAATAAGCAAACCTTATTAAATAACACACTGTGGCGTCTTTAAGTGACATTGATACGATTGATAGGTGTGTGACACTATTAACGGTATCTAATTCAAACAGACACTATCATGTCAGAAAGACCAAAGCCCTCCAGTGCCCAAGGAGGAAAAGGAGGGAGAGGAGAGGAGGAAGAACGGAAAAAAGACAGAGGTAATAATCACTAATCAGAGTAATTACCGTGTTACAGTCTGTGGTCCGTGGAGCAGAGTGTTACTAGCTTACCTTGGATAATTCGGCATTTGCTAATTTAATAAATAGCTAGAATTAACACCAGTTCCTCCCAACATAAATTCATTAGGGAAAGTTGGAAATACTTTTCAGGTGTTTGGGAACAGGAATAGCCTACAGCATCATTTTCAGAAATACGCTTTATCTTTAAAGTGTCCTGCTGCACCTGCATGAACCGTCCACTGTGTCTGTCTCAGGATAGTAAACTGTAATAGGCAAATAAAATGCTTTTCTCTTCCCATCCCCCTTTTTAACTAATAGTTTAAAACCTTTGCATTTTTATAATTGATTAGTCTTATATGTATAGCAAACAGCATTATCATTTGAGCGATATGCTCATTGAATGGGGTTTTGTGCATGAATGCCAGCCAGCTGTAATTTCTCTTGCTGTTTACTTTGTGTTTATAAAGTTATAATCTGCCTTAGGTGCTGTTATTGGCTGGGTTTAATGCCACCCCTGCCAGGGACGGTCAGTCCTATAGGTGACATAGGCGGCCGCCTAGGGCACCACCTTCTGAGGGGGCGCCGACTCGCCAGCCCATTTCACTTTGCCTCAAGCAGGGGGCGCCGGTGGTGATGCTCTCCTAGGGCTCCACATCAGCTAGGACCGGAACTTCTGTACAGATATCTGGGGCTTCAGTAAGAATATGTAGGATATGAAATTTAAAGCTTAATTTTAACACAGTGAAATAGTAAAAAGTGTTTGTTTGTCTGTGTGTTTGTGGGGGGGGATTAGGTATCCCAACAAAAATGGCCCAGGTCCCCACTAACATCTGTAAATGCAATCAAAAAACTAAACATGCCAAAAGTCTCGTATTTTGTTTGGTAACTCATGGTTAATGGTTAGGGCTGTGTAGGGGTTAAGGTCGTCACGTTCGGATTAATGTTGTGTGTTTTAATCCTCCTACCACACTGGTCAGGATCATGTTGAGAATTAGTGCATTTTCTTCTCATTTTTCTTCAGGGGAGCTCATGTCCAGCACAATGAAATATAACCTGAAGCAGAACTGTGAGTGTGTATTTGAAGGGAAAGCTAAGGAAGGACAGCCAACACTTCTCAAAGAGATTTACACAGAACTCTACATAACTGAAGGGGGAGCTGGAGGAGGCAATGATGAACATGAAGTGAGACAGATTGAAATGGCATCCAAGAAAAGGCAAACAGAAGATACTACAGTCAAGTGCAATGATATATTTAAACCCTTATGTGGGCGTAAGACACCTATCAGAACTGTACTCACTAAAGGGGTTGCAGGTATTGGGAAAACAGTCTCTGTGCAGAAATTTATTCTCGACTGGGCAGAAGGAAAAGCAAACCAGGACATTCACTTCATAGTTGCTCTTCCTTTCCGGGACCTGAATTTGATTAAGGATGAATACAGTCTGACTGAACTGCTTCACCACTTTGCCCCTGATCTGAAATCATTTGAATCCAATGAGCTGTTTAGGTACAAAGTCTTGTTCATCTTTGATGGTCTGGATGAGTGTCGCCTTCCTCTAGATTTTCAGAACAATGAGAGCTGGTTTGATGTAACAAAGAAAACGTCACTGGATGTGCTGTTGACTAACCTCATTAAGGGGAATCTGCTTCGATCCGCTCTCCTCTGGATAACCTCCCGGCCTGCAGCAGCCAATCAAATACCTCCTAATTGTGTCCACCAGGTGACAGAGATACGAGGGTTCAGTGATGCACAGAAGGAGGAGTATTTCAGGAAGAGATTTAGTGATCAGAGACTGGCCAGCAGGATTTTCACACATGTGAAATCATCAAGGAGCCTCTTCATCATGTGCCACATTCCTGTGTTCTGCTGGATTTCAGCCACTGTTCTTGATTGTCTTTTTAGTGAGTCTGACAGGGGAGAAATTCCAAGGACTCTGACTGAAATGTACACACACTTCCTGATCTTTCAGACAAGATTTAACAGTGAGAAGTATATGAAAGAGTATAAAACCAAACCTAATAAATGCTTTGAATCCGGCAAGGAATTGCTTTTAAAACTTGGTGAACTGGCTTTTCATAACCTTGAGAAAGGCAACCTCATATTTTATGAGCAAGATCTGACAGAGAATAACATTGATGTCACTGAAGCTTCAGTTTACTCTGGAGTGTGCACAGAAGTCTTTAAAGAGGAATATAGGTTGTATCGGGATAAGGTGTACTGCTTTGTGCATCTGAGCATCCAGGAGTATCTCGCTGCTTTATATGTGTTTCTGTCAGACTCCTCAGCTGACCTGCTGGAGACTGCAGTGGATCAGGCATTAGAGAGCAAGAATGGACACTTGGACCTCTACCTCCGCTTCCTCCTGGGCCTCTCAACAGACTGCAGTAAGACACTGTTAAAAAGGCTACTGGGACAGACAGGAACCAGCTCACATAACATTAAGAAAATAACTAAATATATCAAGGAGCAAATACGAGAGGATTTATCTCCAGAAAGGACCATCAACCTGTTCCACTGTCTGAATGAACTGGGTGACAATTCTCTAGTAGAGGAGGGACAAAGATACCTGAATTCAGGAAGCCTTTCAGCAGAAGACCTCTCACCTGCACAGTACTCAGCTCTGGCCTTTGTGTTACTGATGTCAGATGAGGAGCTGGATGTGTTTGATCTGAAGAAATTTTACAGACCATATAAAGAGCACTGCAGGCTGCTGCCTGTGGTCAGGAACTCCAAGACAGCTCTGTAAGTGATCTGGGGATGGAAAATCATAGAATAGAATATCCACTTTCATTGTCATTCAGAAATACACCGGTTAGTGCACAACAGAACAAAATTTCGTTGCATTTTATGCTCACTATTGGCCTGGCAGAGTGTGTGTAAAAAAAAATTATTTATATATACACTCACCTAAAGGATTATTAGGAACACCATACTAATACGGTGTTTGACCCCCTTTCGCCTTCAGAACTGCCTTAATTCTACGTGGCA